AAGAAATAATATAGAAAGCAAAACATATAACAAATTATACATCATTACAACTTAAATTGGGCTGGTTACTTGGTTACTTTTGAAAAGACTACTAATATGAATAATTCTGCAATAAAATTTAACAATAGTTTAAAATAAAAATCCATGAAAAGCAGCCATCCCTGAGGATGCTATGGTTAATACTTACTATTAACACAATAATAATTTTAAGTTGATTAATTTGAAAATATAAATGAAATAAACACATTGCATATACACAGTTTCAAGGAGAAAGAGAAACATTTGTAGAGCTTTATTTAAAAAATAAGTAATTAAAAAAAAAGTTTTGAGAACTGATTCAAAGAGAACTTCAGTCCTCTCATTCCTCAGTGACGAATTTTACCAAATATTTAAGAAATGAATCATTTCAATCTTACATAAAATTTCCCAGACACTAATAAATGAAACACTCCTTAACTCATTTCATAAAGACAGCAAAATTTTGAATATCAAAACAAAGATAATTAACAATAGACTGGTCACACTCAATATTATTGATATGAGTATCCTAACTTAAATATTAGCAATCTAGCTGGGCATGGTGGTGCACACCAGTAATCCCAGTGGCTTAGGAAGCTGAGGCAGATGGATYGTGAGTTCTAAACAAGAGTGAGGTGCTAAGCAACTCAGTGAGACCCTGTCTCTAAATAAAATACAAAATAGGGCTGGGGTTGTGGCTCAGTGGTTGAGTACCCCTGACATCAATCTCTAGTACCCACCTYTCTGAAAATAATTAGCAATCTTAATCCAGTAACATATAAAATCAGTTAATTATCATGATCTAGTTTGTTTTCCTTAAGAATGAAAGACTTGTTTACATTAGAAAATCATTCAATGTAATTAATAGTAACAGATTAAAGTTATATATTACCTAATTAATTATATAAGTACATTATTTTAAAAATTACCTTTCATACATTTATGATAAAAATGAGATTTCACAGTAACTTAGAAGAGAAGAATATTTAAATTCTAATAAAAACTATCTACAAAACCTTATGACAAATATTTGCTGGAAAATGGAAAGTTTTCCCMTCAGTTCTACCAGGGTTCCCTGTGGGATGAGACACAAGTTGGGTTTTAAAGAATTCCCCTACTGCTGGGCAAGTTGGGTGTCATTCTTTGCTCTTTTATTCCAATTGGAAAATCTAAAAGTCCTGGGAATTGTTCTCTGTTTGGTGCTGTTCAGCCTTAGGATTGAGTGACAGCTTTTCTTGGTTACTGAGTGAATTCCAAAGGAATGTTTCGGCCTTATCCCCAGAGTCTAAAATTTTTACAAAGCTGTTCTTATCTGTGAGTAGTTAGTTAGTATGTTCTTAGAGGCCCTGCAGCCAGGACTTTCTGTTCCATGATAGCACTGATATGAATTCATAAGATATTTAATTTAATTGTGTATAGCAGCAAAAATTAAATCAACAATAATTTGCATACAGCTATATGGCAATCAATGAAAGTTTTGAACATATTTTAAAAATGTTTTATGAATAGCTTGCAATTGCTTATATGTAATACTTTTGCTTGTCAAAAATTCTTGGCTGTGTGTAACTTTAAGTGGTTCTTTCAGAATTCAGTGGAATTTTTTTTTTTTTTTGGCTTGGACAATCCTATAATCATGAAGTCCTTGTCTATCAATATCACATAAAAGCCTTGATTTTTGGCTTCCCTTTCCAAAGTTAAAATTTGACAACAGCGAGGTCTCATTTCTCCATGGCAAAAATATTCCCCAGTTAGCCAAGGCATTTATTCTCTGTTTTGTAGAGTTGACTAAAATTTCACATTCCTTCCTCTAGCTGGTCCGAATTTTAGTTTGGGATTTTGGCTCAAAACTTCCAAAGAAGATTTTATTTATATATAAACTTTTCTGACTCTTCTTTTTTTTTTCCTTTCCCCTTCTGTTCCCCCTCTCTTTTTCTTCCCATCTCCCTCCCTAATATCCTTCCTTCCTTCCTTTTCCTCAGCAAGGAAAAGTTCCAATGGAGCCCATGTGTCAATATCATCACACAATCCCAATATGTGGGATTTTGAATCAGACTGATGTTATAGGTAGGAAACTTGATTTCACCTCCTGAACTTTCTGACTTCAAGTTCCCACATTGAAGGGCTATCATTTATTTTTCTTGTGTCTCAATTTTCTACTCTGAAAATTGGGGATAACAAGCAGATTTCTATTTTGAAGATTTAAATAAGACAATTGCATGACACACTTAAGAAAGTAGCCCTACTCTGTCTCCTTCCATACCAATGCATTCCTACATCCTTATTTCCAGACACATTTCTTTTTTATCCACATTCCCATATTGCAAATAAAAAAATATTAGTTTTAGAGGCATCTAAAAATATAAGTAATAGGACTAAATTTAACATGAAATGTGAGTAGAATGAGACAATCACTTACTGCGGTTTCTTATGAACTTGTGATAATTTATGTTTACAGTGCTTTAAAATGAGTCTAAGGATCATAGAGCAAATTTCAAATCCTCACTTCATTATGAAATTTCATATCATTTTTGAGTCCTGATACTGAAATGTCACAATTGCTGTGTGGTTCTCTATTGTCTGGAAAGTGTATTTGTTGGTAGAATCCTATGCTGAATCTGATGGACAGAAGAGAACATGTTCTACTTCTTATACATTATCATCAACTCATGTAATCATCCTTGATTAGATTTAACAGAAGTAGCTCAAAAGAACATTTGCCCCAATCTTGCATTACCCACAGGGGCAGTGACCTTGTACATTATGTCTATTCTCATTCGAATTTCTAGGTCCTAACATGGTTCCAGAGATGTAGTTACCTATTGAATGGATGAATAAATGAGTGAATGAAAGCCTACTATTGTGAAAGATCCATTGTGTAAGTGGTTGAAAAGTTTCTGATGGCAAGTATCACAATCGCCAAGTCAGTTGATACAAATAATAAAGGAAAGAGTTATTAACTCATGTAATCATGTCTCTAAAGAAGAAAAGCCTGGGATACATTATCAGTAGCCTCATGTATGTTTTCAAGAATTCATGAATTTTTGCCTAAAAATGTGGACTTTCTTCCCTGACTGGCATTCCCTACAGTAACCAGGTGGCTGCAGTGCTTCTTGTCTCACATCCAACATGGCAGTGACCTAGAGGAGATGTCCTTTGTTTTGTGTCTGTTTTTCAGAAAAAAATAAATAAATAAAACCCTTTACTATAAGCACACATGTAGGCCTAATCCGTTTCTCAGTGGTCAACACTAGACTTCATGGTCRACCCTACTAACAAAGAGGAAGTGCCTGCCATGATTGCTGTAGAAGTGTTACAAGGTTCTTAATTAAAGGTGAGTTTAATTACCTTCTCTGGGAGAAGGGGAAGGCACAGGATGCCTGAATAATACTTGACTTTTGCTAATAAGGAACAAAAGAGGACAGAAGAACAACCACACGAAGAAATGTATTAGTAAGAAAGCATTTAATATTTCTTAAAATAAAATTTCTCAGTGAAACAGATTATTTTGTTCAAGATGTTAAAGAGTAGATTACAAAGGCAKTTCTTATGAAACATAGAACGAAGTTCTCCTCCATCCAGCTTTTCTCAATCTATTGTAAGGAAGATCAGAAAAATAAACAAAGTGAAAGCCACCTATGTGAGATGATCTAAGTTTATTCACAATAGTCAGATATCAGTTGTACCTTCTTCCTAAAAATACTCAACGTAAATTCTCCTTGCCCTGCCATGTAAACACTGGTTACTGGTTCTACACCAGTATAGCTTCCTATGTGCACTGGATGAGGAAATTGAGTTCTCAAAAGTTATTTACCTTGGTCAAGATTACAGAGCTGATAATGACAGCTTTCAAGGTGGGAACAGTCTGCCTCTTAAGTTGTAGGTCAGTTACCTCCAAACGAAACAGATGTACATAGGAAATTATTTCTCTGTCCACTGTGAAGTGATTAATGGGAAAGGAAATATTTTCCAAAGAATTTCAAATAAGAGGCAATATTATTTCAACAGTTCTTATYTCTTCAATAGCCCATCCAATGTCTACTTCATGTTTACAACTGAAAAATACAAACTGAACTGCAACTTCTTTTGTGAAGAAAACAGAGTATATTGTTTTTAGTTAGAATATATTCTTTTTTATAACTTTATTTTGTTTATTTATTTTACATGGTGCTTACAATAGAACCCAGTGCCTCATAAGTGCAAGGCAAGTGCTCTACCAGCTGAGAAATATCCCCAGCCCCTAAAATATATTCTTTTAATCTCGAGCTATTCCTGTTKTAGTAGATAAGTCAGTAGCAATATTAAAAGAAACATGCAAACAATCATTGGCAAATGCTAAGTGTAAGATCATAYAGCAACTTTTATCTGGTAAACTTCAAGACACACAAAGAATCTTTCTTTCCCCTTCCCTTGTCCGCTGTGTTTCTTCAGTAAAGGAGATTGAACTGATGGTCTTGCCCTTTCCAGGCAAGTGCTCTACCACTAAGTTATATCTGTAATCCTTTCCTTTCTCTTTATGCATGTAAAATATTCCATGTATGACCCTTAACAATCTTGTTAATAATTTACACATTCTTTACACCTTGTGATTTTCCATCCACATCATCATCAAATATTTTTGTGACAACATAAGTTAGCCTTACAGATAAGGAACAAATATCCTAACTGGTGGATATTATCTATTATTAGTAAATTATTATTATTATTATTATTATTATTATTATTATTATCATTATTATTATTATACTAAGGGATTGAACCCATGGGTGCTTGGCCACTGAGTTACACCTGCCCCCCGCCCTTTTTCTTATTTTTTACTTTGAGACAGGRTCTTGCTATGTTGCTTAGTGCTTCCCTAAATTGCTGAGTCTGTCTTTGAAATTGCAATCCTCCTGCCTCAGCCTCCTGAGCTGCTGGGATTACAGACATGTGCTACCACACCTGGCTCTAATAATTCATTTGGTTTAATAAAATATAAGGACTATATACTTACCTGGCAGGGGAGATACCATGATCATGAACATGATTTTCCCTGGGCAAGGCATATCCATTGCTCTSCAGATAGGATACCCCTGCAGTTTCTCAAGGTTAAGAAACTCGGAATAATTTGTGGTAATGAGGGACTGCTTTCACGCTTTCTGGGGAATTTTTTTTAAAAAGAGAAAAAAAGTAAAAGAATCATATAAAAATTAGTAAGAATAAAACTAATCAGTAAAAATTTTGATAAAGGAATAGGTAATTCAGTAAAAAGAAAAATTCTAATGGGAAAATCAATGAAAACAATGATTTTATACACATACACTATTAGTCTGGCAAACAAAAAGATTATCATTATTCCTTATTTGGGCAAATATCAGGTGACATGAGCTGTCTTATAATTCTGAAAGGAGTTTAAGTATTAAATATTGGTTCTTACATGTGCAATAGAAATTTATCAGCATCTAATACTTTTAACATATATTTCCCTATTACTGAGAAGTTCCATTTTTAATGATATATGCACACATGCACAATAAACTGCAATTACACTTTACTTCATCTACGAAGATACAAAATATATTTTTTAAATTAGAATATACATTCTATTAAATACAAATACATATATATGTGTGTGTGTGTATATATATATATGTTTGGGGGGGGGTTATATCTCTGTTTACTGCAGCATTCTTTGTAATTAAGAGCCAAAAAATAAAACTGGGAACAATGTAAATATCTTTTTATGTGGGAAAAATTCAATTACATGTAGTTTATTGAGAAAATAAATTATTAAACTTGGGCCTGATGGCTGGCAGCTGATTGCTGACAGCTAGGAGTTGGCAGGTCAACAATATTCCCCACTGAACATAAAGAGCTCTCACAGAATGTGAACAGTCCTCCAACAGGTCACCATGTAGCCATGGTGGAACAAGAGCGAGGGAAGACTATCCTGAAATCACCATTAAAACAAGACAGTCAATGACACCATGCAACCACAAAAACAGACAGACAAGCACTCAAGCATCATTGCTTTTGATTGACAGCTTGTTGCTTCTTGAAATGAAAGTATATGAACTCGAGGAATGGAATGAAAAGTCTGGCCCTATTTGAATTTTTCTTCTTTCCTATTTAAAGCATAAAAGGAGTCCAGTCACAGAATCATCACAGATTTTTCTACTGCACCCAATTCAAAGCTGGCCATTTCATTCCTCTGCCTTTATCAAAGACACTCAGCATGAGGTGGGCTGCAGTCCTCCACTCGTTACTGTTTAGTTTCAAGTTTTTACTTTAATCCTGTTACTTATCATATACTTATTATTGCATGTTTATGTTTCTTTGCCTACTTCCCCTCAAGACCTTGAGTTCCTAAAAAGAAAATTGGGCTTCATGTATCCAGTACAGCGATTTCCATAAATAATGAGAAAACACTTTACTGACAGAAAAAAAATAAATAAATGGAACTAAGAATTTCATTAATAACTGCATAAACAAAATCACTAGGAAACAATTCACTTTTCATTTCAGGCATATAGTGTTGTATATAAAGAAGTTATTATATATTAAAGACTATGTAAAAGTAATCTGTTTTCTGACACTTCATTTTATCATCTCACATCTCACTTCTTCTTAATGCAACAGAARGAGGGAGAAAAAAAAGAGTGAGAAATCRGGGAGAGATTGAAGTTTGTCAATTTTCAAATAGGCAGCTTCGATTTGCAATTTCCAAAGCCCTATTTTGAGAGTTGTGAGCACAGTTGTATATTAATTATGGGGATTTATAAAACCCTGTGGTTTTATATGTCCAAACAGAAGAGGGTTTTAATTCTGGGGGAAACTTTCTCCAGATTTTGATGTGAAATAAAATTTCATGCATCGACCGTGCACTAAGGAAGATCAGAAGTTCCCCTTAGTGTGATCAGAGCTATTCCCGTGATTTACCTCTCAGTGGKTTGAGAGGAAATGGAAAAGCAGAAGCATTGATTTTGAAGAAATTTCTTGTCTTGCAAACCACACATTACCCAAATAGATTTACTCTTAATCTTTTAATAAACTGAAACAGTTAGTGATTTCTGCAAATGGCGTCTCAGCTTAATCTCACAGAAGACTCAACAGTTCTGCAGTGGATTAGAGAAGTCTCCCATCTTTCAATATTTGTCTTTGTTCCTTTCAGTAGCTGAATTTAATTCTTATTATCCTCAATGACAATGCAATTTCAGATGATGAAATTTCTCATGTGAAACCTACACCTTTCAAATAATAATTCACAACTCCAAATTGGATTTATGTGTGTGCGTGCACACAGCTTACCTGAAGATGACAGACAGTCTGATTTGTGAACATATAATTCATTTCATAGATTAAAATGTTTTTACAAATAAGAAAGAAAACACTGTTATTTGTGAGGAAAGATTAAATTTGCATTATCCTCAGGTTCATAATGAYAGATGAAATGGCAAAAGAAAAACACACAAAATGAAAAGCGCCCCCCCTCCAAAATAAAATCCTTTGTAGTTTAAATCAGTGTGTATGAACCAGTAATGTTAGGAGGGTTCTGATTCTTCTTGCGCTGGCCCAGAATCAGATGTGCATTATTTATTTCCTAGGTGACTGTATCATGTGCCTAATTGTTTGTCCCCCCCCACCTTGAAATTTTACCAGCCCATCTGTTTGTCATTTCCATCAAAGTGATCTTTAAAATCACATTAAAAATCAAACAAGACAAACATGAAATTTGCCTGTTTGGTGCTAGAATGTTAAACCTCTTACCTAGGTACAGGAACTACTCTGCATTTCACAATGTACCTTATGTTGATTGTCATAGCTTATGTGCAAATGAGGAACCTGAGATTCAGAATTATGAAAAGAATTCCTATAAAGTCTAGAGCAGAATGTTTCAATAGAAGGACTCTAGGAATTTTAAGTTGGACAATTCTTTGTTAGGGATACACTTCCATGTAGTTTAGAATCTTTTGCAACTTCCCTACCCTCTATGACACTAGGCTTGTATGAATTTCTTGCTTCCAGTGTGGAAACAGAAGGTATCCAATCATTCCAAATTTTTCCCCGACAAAATTGTGAAAACTGCCCTCTGTTCAGAAGCATTGGTCTGGACATAATATCTTTTTCATAATAAATTAATTCACATATTGAATGGTCTTACATATACGTGCTTCATTATTCCCAAATACTCCTACTTTCCCTTATTTCTTGATTGAGTTTTGGAAGATCTTGGATTCAGAGACAGTCTGTCTGAGTTGTTTTGTTTGTTTAGTTTTGTTTATCAAAGTTACAACATTAACTACTTTTATGACTACAGGAAAGTTCTCAGTCCCTCTCTACTTTGGATGCATTTTGATTTAGGACAGATTATCACACATAATTCAATGCCTTTTCCAAGGGCCAAGTTAGGTTTTCTAGACGAAGGTCTTGGTATCAGGGCCATTCTGGATTGGTTGCCATGGYCATCAGGTGAAGGATCTCCAAGTTTTCCACCTGGCTGCTCTTCTTCCATTTTTGCTCTTGACTAACCCAAGGAGCAGAGAACCTGCCCAGTGAAGTAACCATGTTGAAGACAGAGAACCAGGCAGCCTCTTTTCTACTTATAGCTTCTCACTAGAACTCCTGTCCCCCAAACATATCATCACTACAATGTCTCCTTACTGCATAATCTGCCATAAATACTCTTCTCTCAGTYTACTCTTGACCACAGTCTGGTCACTAGAAGAGTTGTTAAATCCCAGGAAATAAAAAAATCAGCATCTCCTGCCACCTCTTTTAAAACTCTTGGATAAAGCCTCACTCTATACTATGAACCATTTTCCACTTGATTATTTCCCATGAGCACATTTGTTAATTCTTCGAAACTTCTGGTAAGCTTTCTGCATTCTCAGAACTAATGACCTTGTCCTTACATCCTTATCAACCCCCCCTTGCTTATTTGAGGTAGCTATACATATCTTTCTATTGATTAAATACAGAAATGTGCCTACTGGAAGGAAAAAAAATAACTCATATACACTTAAACTTCAGGGTCAGGGAAACCTTTCAGAGTATATGATCATTGAAGTGAAACCTAAAGGGAAGATTAGATGTTAGCCATACATAAAAGGATGAGTCTGTGAAGAAAATGTTCTCTTCAGAGAAAACACACAAAAGAGCTCATGTATGGCTGAATAAAACTCCATTTTCTTTACCCATTTATCTGTTGATAGACTCGTAGACGAATTCCATAGTTGGCTATTGTGAATTGTGCTGCTATAAACATGGATATACGTGCATTGTCTAGAGGACATGCATAATCAGGAAATGCAGATAAATTCAAAGCACAAACCTCTGTGAAATATGTGAGTGTTTTGGCATTTGACATATAGGAAGTTCTCGGTTACAATAACCTGACTTATGCATTAATCCATTTGAAGTAGCCCACTCCCACTCTCTCCGCCTTCATCCTTTTSTCCTCTTATGCCCAATTCTGTCTCATCTTTTAGTTATCACATCAAAACTGACCTTCTAGAAAGTTCTTTCATGATTACTCCAAGTTTGACAGTTCTACAAGTGTCATAGAGAAAATTAAAAAAAAAAATGAAACACTCCAACAAGAATTCTTTGGTGTGTTTCACAACCAATGAAAACAAGCTTCCTGAGGGTAGAGAACTGTTCTATTGTGATCACCCTTGTTTTCCCAGTGCTGAGAATATTGTCTGAAACACAATTAATGTTAAAAAAAATAATACTTAAATGGAACAATGAATAAAAGATGTGTTGTACAATGTCACTTACCTGTTGTACACCACCAACTGGAGGCTTTGTCAACAATTCATTATGGAGAGGAGTGTGTTTGCATCTTGAAGGACACTGATACTAAACAAAATAAATATGGAGAGAAATGTTATCTCAATTTTAATCACAGCTGAGGAGCAAAGTTGAGCCTTTTGCTATGAGGGATACTGCCTATTCATATTTACTCAGTTTTGTGTGTCTTGTGCCGATTATCATTAAGGAAGTAAAATAGGAACATGTGAAGGACATCTTACCATGGGTTCAGATTTCTAAGAGTCTAATATGAAAAAATAGACAATCTAAAATACATCATCTATTACAATAGTTCAAAGGCTCCATAAATATAGTTCAGTCATGGATTTTTTTCCAACTAAAAATTAAC